CGTTGTTGACTATTAGTCTTAGCGGATTTCCTTCCTTGTGTATGTTCGGTAGTCCGTAGGCTGTCGCTCGTCTTGCGTCATTTTTGATTAAAGATTTCATCATCCATCTGTCGATTTCCCTCTTATTATGCATTTCCTTGAGTATTTTCTTCAGTGTCCCGTTGATCTTCGTGGTTGGATTCTTCCTTAGTATTTGATAAGTGTTCCGATCGGCAAGGATACTTTCCATTTTCTCAGTGTACTATTTCCTGTCCAGTAGAACCGTCGCCACCCTCTTATCCGCTTGAAGAACTAGTTTATCATTCTTTTGTAATTTTTTCCGAATACCAGCCAATTTGCTTCATTTTATCGGTTTGTGATGTGTCAGGATCCGTAAGATTATTTCTACTTCCATCTCCCGCCTTGTCTCTTCTGGATATTTATCCGTTATGTTGACAACTTCGACCAGAATATCACTAAGACCATTTCCTTCATTACCTAGTGAAAAATGTAACCCATACATATACGACCAAGTTGCAAAAACAAGGTCAGACAACCTCTATACAATGAAAGGAGACTGAGACCACACAAAAGGTCACACCATCTTGGTCTTCATACTTTCGATTAAACTATGGAAGTAAGATTGCCAAACAATGCACTGATTACATCTGGACAAAGACGATTGTAAGTCAATCGTGCCATTTGGCCTTTTTGAAGTGTTGCAAACATTATGGTATCCTTCCCGAATTCTGTAATCTAATGAGGTATTGTCATTCGGACACAGTAAATGAAATACTTTAACACGTCTCCATCAAGAAATTAGATGAAAATTATGATACTGAGAGGCGTAAGCTATTTAAGTTCATAGTTCTCAAGTCTAGATTAAGGAAGGATCTAGGTATGGTTCTGACTGGATGATTTTCAAAAAAACTCCAGAGCATTACGGACCAGAAGTCGCAGATGGTCCGGGATCTGATAAATAAGCGTCATGACCAGAAATTGCTTAGCTATGGGATAATAAGAGCGAAATACAAAGTCAAGTAGGGAAAAATTTTGATGTTTATCTATTGAAGGCATCAACTGTTACAGACGACGATAGGACGACCTTTCTTCAATTCACATTGATTCTGAAACTACGGATCTTTTAATGAAAGGGTTACATTTTTCGCTAGATAATGAAGGAAACGTTTGTAGTGATAATCTGGTGGAAGTTGTCAACATAACGAATGAATATCCAGAAGAGAGAAGGCGGGAGATAGAAGTGGGAATGATCCTACGGATCCTGACACATCAAGAACCGATACATAGGAGCAGATTGGCTGTTATACGAAAGAAATTACAAAAAATTGCTGAATTAGTTTTTCAGGCGGATAAGGGAGGAGCGACGGTTGTAATGGACAGGAAACAGTACACGGAGAAAATGGAAAGTATCCTTGCCGACCGGAACACTTATCAAATACTAAGGAAGGATCCAAGGTGGTAAGCGCCTTGCTGGAGATATTCGAGCAAGAAGAGGACATTCTGGAGGCAGAAATGATATGGAAAGAATCGTTGACACGATTGATCAATCTGACAGTAAGGACCACATATTTTACATTTAACGGCAGTATCCATGAGCAAATATTTGGATTACCGATGG